ACATCTTGAAATGGGTAGAACATCTTTTGAGCTGGTAAATATTGTATAAACGGTGTATTTAATAGTGATTATAATATAATGTACACAATAGTGACTATAATAGTGTTCTAGTCTCTGCAGTGACAGGACAGCTGCTCTCCTGTTAATCATGCATGAGCCAAATTCTAGAAACAGCTCGGCTGGTTGTTCTGTACGGACCACCGCTGATCATGACACTGTGAGATTCTGGGTCTATTTTGATGACACAGGATTCCCTGAAGCCAAAGATGCTGTATGACTCTGTATGAAACAGGCACCGAGGGATTCTGAGCTGGCTCTGGGGATGCTTGGTGATTGACAGTTTCCTCCCCGAGAGGAAGATATCGAGGACATAAAGAACACATTTATTTATTCTCAAAGGGGGACACAAGATAAATGACACCAGGGGATAAAGTAGCTCAGCTCAGACTTTTCAGATCCAGGGCTGGCTCTTCCCAGTGAGGTTCCATGCCCCTGGCAGGCAGGGCTTCATGTGGGTGGATGGGCACGGTTTCTTCCCTTTTCCTATCTGATTCCGGACAAGACACTTACCTCCACCTCTTCTAAGGCAGCCTGGAGCTCGGACTTCTCCTGCTCCACTTGCTTCTTCGTCTTTTCCACTTCCTGGAGGTTTTTGCCCCTTTCGGCAATCTGCTCGGTTAAGTCAGAAATCTCTTCTGCAAGAGACAGGCTTGGTTTAGGCTTTCAATAGGCTCCAGCTCACAGCGGAGGTGTTTGCCAGGCAAGTTACAGGATGTCGGTTCATTCATGGCGTTTACATAAGAGAGTATACGGGAAGCTATTCTGATGCACTGTTGCCTCACCTGAGCTGCGTGGAGAATGAGTGTTGTGGAACAATCTTTGTACACTGTGAATATGTATTACTCTCATTGGTTAATAAAGAGCTGATTGGCCTATAGCTGGGCAGGAAGAGACTGGGTGGGAGAGCCAGACTAGGAGGACGCTGGGAAGAAGAAGGATGGAGTCTGAGGAGCAGACAAAGAGAAGCAAGATGAACATGCCATGATGAAGGAGAGGTGATGCCGTGTGGCAGAATATAGATTAATATAAATGGATTATTTTAAGTTGTAAGAGTTAGCTAGTAACAAGCCTGAGCTATTGGCCGGACATTTATACTTAATGTTAAGTCTCCATGTCAGTTATCTGGGAGCAGGCTGATGAGACAGAAAAGTCCACCTACAAATGAGGGACAAGAAGAGGATTCTTTTTGATCCAAAGTATACAGAATCACCATGAAGGACCAGAAACCTTAGACTCTCAGTCTTCCAGAACCAGCAGAGCATGGAGAAATATGGATGCTGTCTAACTTTATAGCAGAAGTCTGAAGTCACTAAGAGCTTTAGCCACAGGCACAAGGATGTGAGGCCACTTGAACACTAGAATCCCTGAAGTCTCTTGTTTTCTAACAGCAATGTGCTTAGCAACTCACTGGGTATCTCCAGTCCTTAAACTGAGAATCAGCTGCCATTGCACCTTTAAGGGAAAGGGTTTGAACCTTGGGGAACACTAGTAAACGTGAGGTTTCATGGATAAGGATGTTGTAGGGTCATAGGGAGGAGGAAGTTGTGGCTAAATGGGGCTAGAGTTAGTAGAAGGGCAGTATGACCCAGCTGAGCTCCCGGGGTGGGGTGGGGGTGGGGGAGGAGGGCGGGGAGCTCACCTTGCAGGTTTTTATTCTCCCGCTTCAGGGTCTCTAACTGATCCACCACCTCCTCATAGGCGTTCCTCATCTTGAAGATTTCAGTACTGAGAGACCTGGACTCTTTCTGGGCAGCCTCTAGCTCAGCTTGACTTTCATCCAGTTTTTGCTTCCATTCTGCAAGGACCTGTGATGAGGGAATTGGAAACATGAGAAACAGACAGACCCAGGGGACTTGAGAGAGAGACCATTCAAACAAGGGCTGTGAGTGGTGCCAAGGCTTTATCCTTTTATCATTGGGGACCAAAGGAAGAAGGTGGGCCCTACTTTAGACTAGGGTCTCCAAAGTCTGATGTCTCAACACACGCCCTGCTGGATTCTTAAAATACAGGCCTCTGAGTATCACTGAGCTGACAGGTAGTTTTTCAGATTTCAGAATATTTCCCCCAGGATTTGGAGTATTTGCATAGACATGAGATACTTTGGAGATGAGACCCAAGTTCCTTGCAAATATGTTTCATTTGCCACGTTATAGACATAAGGAATTTTGTACAGTACTTTTAGCATGCTTGTGTATATGAGTGTATGATACACATGGGTGTATACATGATATTTGTGCATGTACAACATGTGTGTGAGAGAATTTGTGTGTGAATGTAAGTGTGAGCATGTCATGATGTGCTTGTGAAGGTCAGGGGACAACTTCAGATATTGGTATTTACCTTCCACCTTGAGGGAAGATGCTGAGTGTGCCAGACTAGCTGGCCCATGGGCTTCTGGGGATTCCCCTGTCTCTGTCTCCCATCCTCTGGTAGGAGTGGGGGGATCATAGATGCTCATGGTTTGTATACAGCTTTTATGTGAGTTCTGGGGACTTGAACTCAGATTCTCATGCTTGGATGACAAGTATCTTTAACCACTGAGCCAATTCCCCAACTAAGCATTTTCACATTTTAACTACCACTTGTCACATGAAGTCAGACATGGAATTTTCTTCCCTTTGTAGTATCATGGTGCTCAAAAATGTCAGACTTGGGATTTGGGGGATTAAAGGTATTCAGTCTACATGACCCACTCATTGGAATTTGATTTAGCTTGGACTGAAAGTAAATTTCCCTCAGAGGAACCATTAGAGAAGTAAAGAAAGTCCCCTAAGGATCTTCCAACCAGGGACTGAGGCTCATCAAACGCTTGTGTGAAAGGCTAGCACTGAGACCGCCACGTCCGTGAAGCAGTTGGGGAGAGACCTTGTCAAAGTTCCTCTGCTTCTTGTCCAGGGTGGCGCAGGCTGTGTTGGCTCTCTCCAAGTCCAGCATCAGGTCATCCACTTCTCCCTGAAGCCTCTGCTTGGTCTTCTCCAAGGAGGCGCACTTGGAGTTGGCTGCCTCGGTGTTTTCCTCCGCCTCCTGGAGCCTCTGAGCCAGCTTTTTCCTAGGAGAACCAGACATTGTTTTGTCTCCACCAAATGGGATATTTTAGCAAGTAACCATCACATTGAAGGAGAATGGACAGTCTGAAAGAGACTGACTGAGACTGGTACTTGCTACATAATGATGTGCCATGAACTATATAACCAACGATGGTACCATAAGACTGTGAAAGAATTGAAAAACTCCCATCACCTAGCAATGTGGCAGCCATTGTAACATTGAAGTACAATATATTATTTGTGTGTGGGATGCTGGAATAGGCAAAGCCACTGCACTGCTGGTCATCAGAAAGCACAGCATGGGCAACATTGTACAGGTGCTTCCTCCTTCATAGTGACAGCAAACAGCTGTGTCACTGGGTTATGTATTTGCTGTGCCACAGTTTTTGTCCTATTTATGAAAGAGAAGTTTACTATAATAATGCCATCCTTTGTTAGGCCGGCAGCAGCTCACACATGTCAGGAATACTGAGTCTCCTGATGTCATCAAGAGGCCATATGGAGGATCGGCTTTCACACCATTTAGGTTTGCAGACTCAATCTAGAAGATTCTCATGATGGTAAAATCCCTAATGACACATTTCTCAGAACACATCCCCATTGCCAAGCTGGATGTCTATGTCACCAGAATAATCCTGAAATGCTTGGTGGCAAAGCCTGTCTATAAAGAGTCACCAATTGAGCCAGGTGGAAGGACAGTCCCTAGGAGAGTGGGGGACACTCTGAAATCTTAAGACCCTGTAAAGGAAAGAAAGAGATTCTCTCCAGGTGGGGGGACTGCTTTCCTTCTGAGCCTTTTTTCTAGGGCCTTCTCTCCCATGGGGAACTTGGGTCATACTTGGCCTCCTCCAGCTCCTCCGTGCGCTGGATGGCGTCCGTCTCATATTTTGTCCTCCACTGGGCCACCTCACTGTTGGCCTTGGACAGCGCCCTCTGCAGCTCAGCCTTGCCTTCCTGCTCCTCCTCATACTGTTCCCGCAGCAGGTCACAGTCATGGCGGGCTGACTGCAGGGCGTGGGCCAGCGCGTTCTTGGCCTGAGGATTACAGCGGTAACCAATTTTAAAACCACATGGCCCTCTTCCCAGTGAAAGTATGTTCATTTAAATAGCTGTTCCGAATTTGAACCATTTCCACATTGCTTCACCAATTTAGGAATATCAGCGTACCTAATGTTTGATTTAAAAAAAAAAGTCTCTCCATAATTATATTTACTTTTTAAAGCAAGTATTATACCATAAAAGAGAAAGTCAATATTTAGCCAGCCATGCGTGGTAGCACATATCTATAATCCCATTACTTATGAAGATGAAGCAGAAGGATGGGGAATTCAAGGGCTGTCTGATCCACATGGTGAGTTCTAGGACACCCTGAGCTAAAAAGTAAAATTCTCTCTCAATCCCCTCCCAAACTGACATAAGAAACACTAGAAATATATACCATGGATATAAAGCAATATCATCAGCATTTATCTAGACAGCTTGCATGTTGTGGCTATGTGCTTGAGGCTTGCCCTCTGTTTCTTAATAAAGTAATAGCAACTGCTGAAGGGCCCTTGTCCACACTGAGACCTCCCCGTGGCTGTAATGGCAAGAATTAAAACAGAATTGAAAAGGAAACCACCTCCCTCCTACTTCATGCAGCATGATGGGATGCTGTGACCACGGAACAGTTACAGCATCTTTGGTGTCCCCAGAGACCAGGATCCCCACATTGGGGACCACTGGTGTGACCTGATGCCTAGAGCCTCCTCCCTGCCTCACAACCCTCTGGACAGGATAAATGTTTACCTCTAGTTTTAACAGTTGCAACACATCCTTGGGTGCCACCACCAAAGGAAAAAAAAAAGTTCTATTGACCCAGGACAATGACTTTGGCATTTTCATCACTTTTAGAAAGGACAAGACCAGGCAGAGCTTTGCCTAAGGAAGGAGTCTCACAGCTGCAGTGAGAGACAAGAAAGGGTGGCCTCTGGCCCCCAGTGACCTGTTCTGCTTGTTCAGTCTCCGGTTCTCACCACTCCTCCCTCGCTCCTACCAAAAGCCTTCCCTCAGAGTAGAAAGACTTGAGATAAGTGCGGCACTATTCTTTGCCAGAAATGAAAGATGAAGAGAATTTCAAAAGATCGCCTTGTAAATCTCCCTCAGATCACAGCAATCGTAACCAGATCAAAGTAAGTTTCTTTCACGTGGGTTTTTCGAATGTCTAGATTCCTGTATTTTAAGGCTTGAGACACTAACATCAGTAGTGCTTACTGTGTGCACTGTTCTACTGAGATTTTATTTACTGTCCATGACTACAGTGGGGGGGTCATTCCTATCTGTTTATAGGTCAGTGGGTAGACTTTATTATATGCATTATAGACTATATGTAGATGTTGAAGTTAGCATTATGATGATGTTTGTGTTGAAACACCCAAAAGTTCTCCCTAAGCCATGTAGTCTTTTGGGACAAAGGGTACTTAAGAACAGATGTTACAGGAGGTGGCCCACAAAGAGGAAGGCCTTTTAAACAGCTGGGGTGAATTTCTGTATGAGATGGTCTAACTAGTGTGGTAGTGGGAAGGGGTACTCCTGGCTGGAGAGGAAGTTCATTAAGTCACACTATGGGAGATGGAGGTGGTCCTGAGGGAAGAGATCCAATGCCAAGGTCCTCTATCATTCGGGGACAGGTTATTACAACACTCCAAGACAGAGAGATGAATCATCCCTGATACTGTACTTCTCCCCAAGCCAGTGTTCTCCATAAGGAACCCACCTCCTGTCAGCCTCACCTGAGAGTCACAGCCCACCTCCTGTCAGCTTCCCCTGAGGGTCGCAGCCCACCTCCCGTTAGGTTCATCTGAGGGTCACAGCCTACCTTCTGTCAGCCTCACTTGAGGGTTGTAACCCACCTCCCGTCAACCTCACCTGAGGGTCACATTACTTGGCTTCGCAGGTTCTATCCTGCAGCTGTTCCCCAAAGAGTCTACCTTACCTTGGTCTCTTCCTCCAGCTGCCTCTTAAACTCCTCCAGCTGCTGGGTCAGGGCCTGTTTGCTTTTGGTTAGCTGTGAAACCAGAGACTCCTTCTCTTCTACCTGGTGGCTCAGCTCCCCTGCCAAACAGATGTGTCTCTACGTGAGTGTCCCTGGCTGCCAACCCCCACGTCCCCACTGGCCCCTCCCTGGAGGTGTGCCATCCTCACCATTCTGGGTCTGCAGCCTTGCCTTCTGCATGTTCAGATCGTGGATTAACTGGGTCTGTTGGTCATCCTTGGCTTTGATTTCATTAAATTGGTCTTCGACAGACCGGCACATCCTTTCTATGTTACTCTGAAAAACGAAAAGGTCAGTGGGAAAGCAGGAGTGGGTGCCGGGTGTCCAGTACCGGAACTGGACGCTTTGATAGTCTGGCTTCTTGTTGGGCCAAAGGAAAACACCGAGCATATAGAGCTTGGCTTTAGGAGTCATCATCATTTCGGATTGACTTTATTTTTGTGTGTGATTGCTCTTCAATGGACAATAATTCGCAATGTCAGCTCTGCTAGGTATGTATCTAGTGATTAGTAAACCAGTTTCTGATGTGATGCCACTCACAGGAACCCCGGGATCACGGTAGAGGAGAAGCAAGCCTATGCCAGATGGACGCTATTCCCAAACCCCATGTTCATGTTTCAGTGTTTCTTTCAACACTACAGTGGTTCCTGGGGGTGTGGCTCTTGAGATGAGGGGGTCGTGACTCCAGCCTCTGGTCTGCCTGTAGTTATGCGCTTTGTTCAAAACCTCTGTGCATATTTCAGACCTCGCTTCTCTTCCCTCCCCAGGAAATATAGAATAAGGTGAGCATATGCGTTCCCTCAGACCAGAAGGTGTGAGACAGAAGCAGCAGAAGCAGAGGTGTTAGATCAAAGATGATCCTCAAGGAGCTCAGGACCTATCTGAGGATGATGCACAAGGAAGAATTCCAGCAGGGGCGGGATCTGAGAGGGAAGACAACTCTCAAATAGAAAACTCAAAGGATACAATAACTTAAAAAAAATAAGGCAAGTACAAGTGCTGGACTTGGAAACTGAGAGCACAGAGTAGCATAAAGTCATTCCAGAAGTAGGAGGCTCTGAGGTGAGATGTGGCCTCTGTGGTGTGGTGGTATCAAGAGGTGGTGAAGGTTTTTCAAAGGTGGGGCCTAGTGAGAGGTAATTAGGTCATTGGGGTTGTCTCTGAAGGGATTAATGCTGGTCTCCAAAGACTAGATTAGTTAGCATGAAAATGAGCTGATGTAAAATAGGCTGGTGTCTAAGTTCCTCTAACAAATGCTCCTACCACTGTGCCATCATCTACTATGAGGTCCTTACTTGAGCTAAACAGATGCTGTCACATCTTCAGAACTATGGGCTAAATAAACCTCTTTTCTTTATAATGTACCAAGCCTCAGGTGTTTTACTACAGCAATAGAAAATGAACTAAGAGAATGACCGGAGTTTGATTCCCGGCACCCCTGTCAGGCAGCTCAGAATCCCTTGGAAGGACAGCTCCAGGGGGTCCAGTGCTCTTTTCTGGTCTCTGTGGGCACCTGCACACACATGCCCTCCCCAATAAAGTAAGTCTTAAAACACAGAAGAAAGACATCAATCCTGCGTGAAATAGACCCAGAAAATAGACGGCAAAGGGAACTGTGGTGGTAGCTCAGGGGCAGAACACTTGCCTAGTGTGTGCAAGACTCTGTGTTCAATTCAAGCAATACACACACACACACACACACACACACACACACACACACACACACACACATGGCGTTCCACAGGACCCATTTTTCCCTGACTTCACTGCCTGTTCCTCTCTGGTACACCCCCTGACCTTCTAGGGATCCCCTTGAGAGGCTCACATCCTCACTGGGGTCAGTGGTCCTTCTCTGAGCCCAGCCATCCAAACTGTTCCAAGTGCATCCTGGAGCATCCTTCGACAAAGGCAGCTCTTAGATCAAGGAGGCCATGACTGCTCTCTGAGGGGAATTTTGTGTGAAGTCACAGGGAGGCCGCTTGGTTTAAGGGTCAGCACCTTCATTTGTATGAGCCCCAGGGAGAGTGAGGAGCCCTAGAAAGTTCCATGTAGGTAGGGAGGGGAGGCCATGTGTTCCGGGCTTCAGTAATCTGTGCCTTTTCTTGCTTATTTTTACATCTGTATTAATGTGCTGGCTAGGGATCTGGGCCCCGCATGTGTGAGGTTCTAGGCTTGTCCCCCATCATCTCAAAGCAAACAAAAAAGAAACAAGCAACTAAATAAATGTTCATTTGATGCTTCATTTCTCTAATTTTGTGTACACGTAGTCTTCTGGGTACCACATCTTTCACTTGAACTCACAGCAGATCTAAACAACGGAAACAGCTGTGTGTGGTGGTGCATGCCTATGAATCCTAGCACTTGCACTTGGGAGCTGAGGCAGGAGACTCAGGGCCAACCTGGGCTGCCTAGGAAAAAAAACTCGTTTTTAAAAATCCAAAGGAATGAAAATACTAAAGCAAAATGACCTGTGCTTGGCATGTGCAGATGGTTTTGGCTTTAGTTTGGTTCAGGTTTATGGTTTTCTGAGACAGGGTCTCCCTGTGTAGAGCTGGCTGGCCTAGAACTCACTATGACGAAGGCTGACCTTGAACTTATGGCAGCCTTCCTTCTCTGTCTCCCAAGTGGTGGGATGGCAGGGGACCACACCCCAGACTTTTCCTTCCAGGCATTATTCCCGGATCAACAGAACATAATGATTTACAGGGAATTTACATTATCTGAGGAGGTGTGAGTTGGAAAAGATTTAAATGGGAGGGTGTGAATGGGAGAGAATGGGTCCATATTCTCATACCATCCTATTGGGGTCCTGCACCATGGATTTGGTATCCATGGAAGTATTGGAGCCAATCCACTGCATATACTAAGGGGTGACTATTCCTTCCTATCCTCTCCTTCCCTCTCTTACTCTCCTCCTTATTTATTTATTTATTTATTTATTTATTTATTTATTTATTTATTTATTTATTTATTTTTATTTGAGACAAGGTTTCATATAGCCCAGGTTGGCCCATGCAGCTCTGGTTGTCCTGGAACTCACAATGTAGACCAGGCTAGCCTCCAACTCACAGAGATCCACCTGCCTCTGCCTCTTAAGTTATGAGAGTAATACACTGCCATGACAGTCTGACTTTGAACTCTTGACCCTGCCTCAGCCTCTCAAACGCTGGGGTTACAGGTATGCGCCACCATGTCTGACTTGTGCTTGCTTTCTTTCCCTGTGGGAATATTATTTTATTTTATTTTTATTTGTGTATTTGTGTGTCGGTGCGGGATATGGGCACATATGTGTAGATGCCATTGGAGGCCTTCCTGGAGCTGGGCTTGTATGCAATTGTGAGCCACCAGACTTGGGTGCTGGGAAATGAACTCGGATCCTCTGCAAAAGCAGCACGTACTCTTAGCCTCTGAGCCATCTGTCCCGCCTCTTGCCTCTTGGTGTTTTATCTTCAAGACCTCCAGTTCTACTCTTTCATCTGTCTCAAGGGCCTGCATCTGCCTGTGACCCCAAATGCTAGTTTCACATTGACTGTATCTCCCAGTGATAAACACTGTGGGGTAGGAAGGGGGCATGGGGAAACCATGACCACAAGGCCTGGGTGTTAACTAAGCCATAGATTCAGTTCTAGGACACACCCGATGGACGGGAAGAGTCAGGAAGGATACTATGACCTTGACTGGTGTCAGACCACTCAACCAAGTTGGAACAACTTTGCTCTGTATTTTTTGTGTGTGTGTGTGTGTGTGTGTTTCCCCCAGATTCATAAGTTGAAACTAAATCTCCATAAATCCAGAGGTAAGCTTAGCCTCTGGGGGTGAGTAGCAATTAGGTCCCCACCTTCGTAGGGGGTGAGAGTCTTTATAAAAGAGGTGAGAAGATGGGTGTGTTTGCATATACCTTTAACCCCGGCATTCTGAAGGTACAGCCAGGCAGATCTCTGAGTTTGAAGCTAGCCTGGTCTACATAGTGTTCCAGGCTACCCAGGGCTGCACGGTTATACCCTGCCTCTAATAAACAAATGAAGAGGTGAGAGCTAGCTCCCTTGCTCCTTCTGACATGGGAGGATGTAGAGAGAAGGCACCATCTTTGAAGCAGAAAGTGAGCCCTGGCCAGACACTGAGTCTGCTGGCCACTTGATCTCAGACTTCCCAGCTCCCAAACCATAAGCAACACTTCTGTTGTTTATAAAATCACCCAGTCTAAGGTAGTTTGCTGCCATAGCCTCAGGTATTAGGACTTGTAGCTTGAATGAAGTTGAGGAGTTGGAAAAGTCAGTAGGGGAAAAGCTAACAGTTTAGAACACGCAGTGAGTCTGGTGCATCGAATTCCACTTGCTCACAGGGTGGGAAGATGTGACTGCCCAGACCACAAGGGTTAGTCATACCTTTGACTTGGAGACTGTTTCAATGTTGCTGGCCATGTCGTCAATCTCCATCTTCAGCTCGCTCTTCTCCTTCTCCAGCTTCTGCTTGACCCGCTGCAGGTTGTCGATCTGCTCCCCAAGCTCCGCCACGGTGTCCGCATGCTTTTTCCTCAGGGTGGCTGCTGTGGCTTCATGCTGCAGGGTGGCCTCCTCCAGGTCCCTGCGAAGCTTCTGGAACTCAGTCTCTCTCTTCTTGTTCATCTCGATCTGGGCTGAAGTGGCCCCACTGGCTTCTTCCAGCCTCTCGCTGATCTCCTCCAGTTCCCTGGCTAGGTCTGAACGCTGCTTCTCAATTTTGGCTCTGACTGTGTGCTCTGCTTCAATTTCTTCCTCCAGCTCTTCTGTCCGGGCCTGAAAGGGTCGGCATAATTGAAGGTTGTCAGGGTAGAGAACAATCCAGGAGCGGCTAGGTGCTAAAGGAATGGGGATAGGCAGCACAAAGTTGAGAATATGTTCTGATTTAGCAGAGGACAAAAGGCCATCAGCAGTTATTTGGAAACAGCCTAAGTGTCTGTCAGCAGGGGAATGATCAATCAGTTGTAATGAGGGCTTGTCCTGATGCTAAGCAGCAACTCAATGCTGTAGCAAGTCTGCCATGGAAAGCCCTGCAGAACATGCTGATATTTAAAAGGAATAAGTTGCATTCTGTATTTAGGATGAAAAGATTTATGGTGAAAATATGAAGAAATGTGGATAATTTTTTTGCATATATACCATATCTTTTCTCTGGGACTTCAGTATATCCTTAAACACATAACAAAGGGATCCTGAATGATCCATAAACACCTGAAACTGCCAGTTCCTTCTCAGAAGACTGGGAGGGCCCTAGGCTTAAAGACAGGGGTCAGTGCACTTTGACCAGCAATAACTGGCCCTCTCGATCACATTCTGATTCTTTTTAAGGGAATATATACTTAAATGCCACTTAGGAAATTTGAAATATTTATTTCAGAAACTACAGAGAAAGGCCCACTGTGGTGGCATGCTGCTGAGGCGGGGAGTGGAAAGAAAAGATAAAAAGGAAGAACAGCTCCGGTCAACAAGAAGAGACAAGCGCGGATGAGCACACGGGGCATTTGCAGGGAGCCTCTGTGGCCAGGAGGGACCCGAGGTCTTCACCTGCAGTTCTTTAATCTTCTTCTGCAGCTGCAGACTGAGGACCTGCTCGTCGTCGATTCGGGTTTGTAACTGACTCATTTCAAACTCCTTCCTGCAAGCAGACAGAGCCAAGAAACAAGACAGTGTGAGACAAGGGCTGTTTGGGGGGGGGGGTGTGTGTGTGTGTGGGGGGGGGGGGGACACACTCGGCTTTCGGTCTCAAGCGGAGGGGAGAGAGCAGGAATCATCACCTACTTCTTCAGTTTCTCTTCGACTTGCTGCTTGTCGTTCTCCAGATCCATGATGGACTCCTGGGCCATTTTCAGGTCTCCTTCCAGCTTCCTCTTCACCCTCTCCAGGTCGGCCCTCAGTTTCCTCTCCTGCTCCAAACTGCCCTCGAGCTGGGAAGACACAGGTGGAGAGGCTGGCTGGGACAAGGCCGAGGAAGCAGGCTTACCCACATCAGCCGGCACCATCAGTCACACCCCATGCCCTGTGGCCTCCAGCCCTGGGAGGAAGGGAGCCAGCCTTCCATCCTCCACTTCTCTGTTCTCTATCTTAGGGGGTGAGTATCGTGGGGGTACCTTCTGGTACCTCTTTTCAGACCATTCCCACTTGGCTTGTTCCAGGCCATATCTCCCAAAGGAAGAAGGGGACACTCTGTGACAGATGCTGTGGAGGCTTGTCACGCCTCACCCCAACTACACCACCCAGCCCTGAAGGCAGTCAGGCAAGGAACTCAAGTGTGTGTGTAGGACTGGGCTCAGGAAAAGAAGGATGTAGTAAGGAACACACCTGCTTGTGTGTTAGCCTTGTTAGAGACCTACGAAAGGTCTAGCTACCATAGGGACTAAACATGGCTAACTTGAAACCTGGGTCTTACATCATGAACAGTAGTTCATCATGAAGGAGAAAAGAAGGTTCCTTTCCCTGGCCATAAATGGAAGTTTTGGGGGCGCGGTGATGGTAGTTTTTGAGGTGTTGCAGGTGGAAGTCAGGACCTCATGCATGCTGTACCACTGAGCTACACCCCTGCCTGAGAACAAGGCTTTAAGCATTGTAGAGAAGAATTAGAAGTTTCTGAACCTGAGCTGTCTACAAGTGGATGCTCATGACAGCAGCGGTTTATGGTTTTCTGAAAATATTATGTTGAACATTTTCCTTAGATGTCCTCTGAAGTCTAACCATGTGTATTGCTCCCTAATTCATAAGTGGGAACTGAGGCCTCACAAGGTCATGTGACCCGCTTGTCACCTCAGATGTTTGTATCTAGGGTCAGGGCACAGCTGGAATCCGGACTCAGGCTCTGACTGCAGCGTCTGAGCTCTCTAGGCTGGTTCCTGCTCAGCCCCCTGCCCCCCCATTTCTTTGCAAAGCACAGAGGTCACGTGCTCTCACGTCATCAGTCTGCTGTTCCAGCTTGACATTGATCTTGATGAGACCGTTGACTTTATCTTCTTCAACCTGCAGGTCGTCCAGCGTCTGCTGATGGGCTTCCTGGAGAGATTTCTTTTCTTTCGTCAGTTTGGAAATGTTTTCCTCAAGCGCTGTCATTTCTTCAGAGAGATTCTTCACCTGGGAGCAAATTAACAACTAATTTAATATTGAAACAATTAATCCCAACAACAAGCACTGTGGTGGCCTCCTGTCTCTGTAGCTCCATATCATTCAGGGACAGGTAGCTTCTCAGTTCTTTTCTTAATGTCTTTTTTTTTTAATTATTTTAATTTTATTTCATCTTATTTTTGGGAATTGTACAGTTCCTAGGCTGGTTCCAAACTCCCAGGCTTAAGATATTTTCTTGCTTCGGCCTCTGAAGTAGCTGAGCAGCCGAGACAAGGCACGTACCACTACCATACCGGCAGCCTTGCAGGTTTTTATGAGATAGGGTCTCAAGTGGCCTAAAGTGACGACATCAAAACTTGATGTCAGTCAGGGTGATCTCAAACTTCCCACCTTCCCGCTTCTACCTTCCGAATACCGAGATGCAGGCATGAGCCGCCATGTTTGGTTATACGTGGTTCTGGGATCACGTGCAGGGCCTTGTCATTGCTGGGCACTACTCCGCCCAGTGAACTACAGCCCAGGCTCTCCATGTCCCCTCGTCTTCCTCCCTGGCCTATCACGGCGTCCCAGTTTCTTCCAGTGGGACTGTTCCTTTCAGAGTGCACTATATTTCACTAGGAAGGACACCATCAAAATGCAAATCCACTCGGTGTGAAGGGCAACACATCAATCTGTGTTTACTCATCACACACCTCCAAGCATTTATCAGGCGGGCTGATGGGGGGTTCAGGACGAAGCAGGAAAGAGAGGGAGAGGCCTGAGGTGTGAGGCAAGAAAATCCAGATGTGCTGGCAGCATGGGGCCTGGGCACCTTGCACAGAGCTTCAGGCACCAAACAGAAACTCCCTTGGACTCATCTTCCAGATGAGAGGTTGCTAACTCCCACCTGTGACCTGAATCCAACCTCACATATATTTCATTTATCATTTTATTTTTTGGAAACCTTATCAACATTGGAAAATAAGAGTCTACATAAAATCTGGATTTTTGGCTTCTTGTGGAAAGCCAAACCTCCAGCAGCACTGACTTCACCTTCCCACCTGACAACCATGTGCTGGGGCTGAGTCATGGCTGCCACCCGTGAGATGGGCAGCCTGTGGACAGCATTGGCCACAGTCTCCACCCTCCCTATTGTCTGTTTCCATTACTATTGTTAATCCATCACTGACTCTGAGTGTCAGCTGTCATTGTCCTCTCACACCCAGCAGACTTCTGCCTTTCTCTCCCCTCATGGGTAGCCCTTATTAAATGAATCACGCCAAGCTTTTAAGGACCCTTGTCAAGCATACATTTTTGTGCTGTGTGCATGTACTTTCCCTATGTGTAAATGTTATCACACTGCTCACATCCCTTACTTACACGTCTCTCCACTGAGCACTGGGTGTTTCATATTCATCTTGGTTGCCAGATTCACCCAGCCTGGTGCCCTCCCCCAATGGTGGACTGTGCTCTCTGTGTGACTCAACTGCATTCTGCCTCTCCATCCTAGGATGTGGTCCCCAGCTCTGTCCCAAGCAGAGCTTCTCCAATTGTCCCTATATATGCAAGCACCTTTTTGTGTGTTCTCCAAGTCATGATGGGAGATGTCTTTGGTTTTACATCCAGAACAGAATCATGGGCTCATAGGGTATGTAAATTCCTTCCTTCCTTCCTTCCTTCCTTCTCCTCCTTCTCCTTCCTCCCTGCTTCCTTCTTTCCCTTTTTTTTTTTTTTAATGCAGGGTTTTGATGTAGCTCTGGCTCTCCTGGAACTTATTATGTAGACCAGGCTGGTCCCAGACTCACAGAAATCCCCCTGCCTCAGCCTTCTGAGTCCTGGGATTAAAGGGTGTGCACCACCACTCCTGGAAAGTTTTGTTTTGTATGTATGGGTGTTTCTGCCTGCATGTATGCATCTGTGTATACCATGTGTGTGCAATGCCCACAGAGTCAAGAAAAGGGGCATCAAATCCCCCAGGACTGGAGTCACAGACTTGTAAACCACCTTTGGAAGAGCAGCCACTGCTCTTAACTACTAAACTGTCTCTTCAGCCACTAGATTCTTAATGGGACTAGGTAATGCCAACTGGCTTCCTCTACATCCTTCCAATAACACATGAGGATCCCTGTATCCCACTTTCGTTCAACTCTCGCTGATATCCAGTTTTCTGCCTCCTTCATCATCCGCCTGACTTGTTGGCATTTTTGGTGGCTTTCCCTGCACTTGGTACATGAGAGACAAAGACTAGCATGACATCCTTGTTGTCAAGGAATATACAAGTTAGCAACACTCCCAGGAAGAGCTGAGGAGAGCCTGTGGAGTAGAGGTCAAGGAAGAGGGACCAAAGGGGCCAGCTGCTTGTTATGTAGACCAGGCTGGCCCCAGTTCCTGCCTCTCACATGTAGACGATGAGTGAGGACTGGCTGAGAGCCTGTGAAGAGCATTCCGCGCACTCACCTTGTTCTCTGTGGCGTGCTTTTCCTTCTCAACCTTGGTCAGGGTCAACTCCAGGTCGTCGATGTCTCTTTTGAGGGAGGAGCACTTGTCTTCCAGATTCCTCTTCTTGGCAACCAGTTCCGAATTCGTCTCCTCCTCCTCCTCCAGCCTCTCATTCAGCTCCTTGACCTTCGCCTCCAGCTGGATCTTGCTTTTGATGAGACCCTCACACCGTTCCTCGGCATCCATCAGATTTTCTGTTTCCTGCAAGAGCCGGTTCACCGGAAGCTCTGGTCAGTCGCTTTGTAAACCCTGGGAAGAAAGGGTCTGACCCTCTAAAAGCCCGCACCGCAGCTGAGCCAAAGAGTGGTTCGGGTGGGTGCCCGTGCACACAGGCATTGACACGTGTGTCACTTATGTGTTCTTAACCACTGAGGCTATCGTTTGACACAAAGGCTCTCATGGAGTCACAGGCTCGTCGTAAACAAGAAGGCCTCTAACTGTTGATGGATGTGGTATCGGAGCATTTCTTTGTTCCACCAGTCAAAAACCATGTGACCCATGTACTCCCGGCTACACAAAGCGGATTCATGTTCTCAAAACTCTACTACATGTTAACTTTCAATAGAAGGGGCCTGTCCACCTGATCTCAGCTGTGCTTCCTCAAGCCACAGAATAGGAAATTAGAAACACACACGAATAGGTGACTGAGTAAGTCCATGGCCTGGAAGACTGTAGCAAGTATTGTGGATGTGGATGAGATTGGCTAATTATGTTCTCGAGCTAAATCAGCTGCCACCTTCCCCTTGTAGAGTATTTAAGCACTAGACACACAGTACAGGGAAGTGGATGGAAAGAGACCAGGAGGAGTCCATGCTGATGCTTTCTGAGCCTCTCTACACCCAAGCACATGCTGGGCACTTGACATGGCGTCAAGCCCCTGACTCCCTGACAACCATCCACCGTGAGTGCTGTTATGATGTTCATTTACTGATGGGAAAATGAAGACAGAAAGAGAATGAACTGGATTGAGGGCACACTGCTAACAAGTGGGGGCATCTGAGAGGTCAACCCAGCAGGTTCTTGGACCTCCTGTCCTCTGAGCCTGGGAGGTGATGCTCTCTGAAGAGCACTCTATCCATGGGGCAAGTGTAAGTGAGAGCACGAAACTCTGTCCATGTGAGGTGAGACACACCGTCTCTGAGGATTTATTAAGAGAAAAAGTATAAATTTTGTGGAAAGGAGACAAGTATGATACCAGAATATTGTGACCTGCAAATGTGGCTCCGTTTCCCCCCATTTCTTTGATAAAAAATGAATTCTCTAAAGCACTTTTCAGAGCATAATCATATTATTGAAAATCATATGTGGAAAATTACTTTCTGTTTCCAATTGGGTTATTTAATTTTAATGATTTATTTTTACTTGTACTTTTTTTAAAAGTGTGCATTTTAAACTTTTAAAAAATATTCTATGTGTATGAGTGAATGTTTTACCTGCATGCATGTATGTATGTGCACCTCGTGTGTACCTAGTGTACAAGGAGGTCAGAAGTAGCTGGATCCCCTAGAACTGGAGTTATAGGTGGTTGTGATCCACCATGAGGGTGCGGGGAACAGAACCCTGGTCTTCTGTAAGAACAATAAATGTTTGTATCCACTGAGCCACCCTTCCAGCCCCAAGGCCTGCACTTTTTTTCCCAAGACAGGGTTTCTCTGTGTAGCCCTGGCTCTCCTGGAACTCACTCTGTAGACCAGGCTGGCCTCGAACTTAAAGATTTGCTTGCTTCTGCCTCCCGAGTATTGGGATTAAAGGCATGTGCCACCACCTCCAGCCTAAGATGTGCACTTTTGACAGGCCTTTTTTTGTATTTTGTTAAGACAGGATCTGACATCATTGCCTAGGCATCTTAGATCTCACTATGTAGCCCAGGTTAGACTTGAACTCATGGCAATCCTCCTGCCTTAGACTTCTGAGTAGGCATGAGATACATCATACCCTGCTTCTGACAAATTTTCATTATAATTACACACTCTTATCCTTCATGCTCATGGCAAAATATGCTGTGGAAAGCAGAGAAGAGACTGGAGAAGTTTACTCTGCCAACCTGTTTTCTGGGGAAGCCAGGGCCAGCCCTACTTCTGACAGGGTAGTCCTGCAATACTCTGTGTGACCACTGGGTGGCACCACTGCCTCTTAAATAGACAGCTCATGGGGCCCTCCCTCCCTGCTCCTTCACTGTCCTGGGAGTCTTGTTTTGCTCTCTCAGGTAGAAGAAAACTTACAGACTGGACTTGCAACTGGAGGTCATTTTTTTCCTGCAGCAGGGAGACCATTTTCTCCTCCAGCTCCTTCCGGCGAGCCTCAGATCTAGCCAGTTCTTCCTTGGCCCGTTCAAAGTCCTCCTTCATGGTGGCCATCTCCTTCTCAGCCTCCGCGCTCTTCAGTAGGGGCTTGATCTTGAAGAACAGGTTCATCCAGGGCCAGTGCTTGACGTTCATGAAGGAGCGGACGTTGTACTGGATGCAGAAGATGGACTCCCTGTGCACCCACAGAACTCGGATTAGTTACCCACAGCGTTTTCCAGCTCATTTTTCACTTAAACCCCCACACCCACCCCCCACAGGTTCTAGAGTCTCCATCTTTCTCAGCTGGGGAGAAGGGGGTATGCCTAAGCTTTGCAGACCTGGAACCAGAGTAGGCCTGTGAATGAGGGGCACAGGACACAGCATGAAAAGGTTGGGAGGAAAGAAGGCTGAACCCTTCGTGCCAACTCCAATATCTCAACCAGGCTTATTTGTACCAGGTCCTTCTTTGCCTGCCTATAATTCTAACAATCCCCTTGTCTGAGTATTGGAGTGTTCCACGCATGTGTCTGCTCTCCCGTGCCTCTGTGAACTCCTGGGTTTGTTTCCGTTATCCCCAGGGCACGGGGCGGCTGCTCAATCAATGCTGGACGAATGACTGATTGCATGAGCGAACGAAGGAGCGCAAGAACATTCAGAAGGAGTAAACGAGTGTTCAGAAAGAGTACATGAATATTCAAAGACCCAGAGCAGGAAGTGATGACGGGCTGGTGGGTCGGAGGGGTGGGGTGAGGGAGGTGAGACTCCGCCTTACCTTCTCTCCATCATCTTCTTGAACTCCACCCTCATCAGGTAGCCCCTGCACACGGCCTGCGTGCGCGTCATCAGGGTCACCAGCTTCTCATCTCTCATCTCCTCCAGAAGCCCCAGGAGCCCCGCTTTGAAGAACACCTGTGTGAAAGGAGAGACCAGGCGGCGTCCTCCTCAGCGGCGTTCCATCAGCCTCCTGATGGAACCTGTTTCTTCCCAGCTCCAGCCCGGAGTGCTTCCAGGCCTCACTTTCCAGGGGCTTAGGTCTCTGCATCTGCACCTCTTGGGCTACTGTAGTGTGCTCTCACATAGGTCAATCAACCACCTGAACTAGTTCTGCGTCATGGCAGTCAAGACAAGCCGGGAAAGTAACCATGGGGCACAATTGTGCCCAGATTCAGAGATAGTCACAGATGGATCTGTCTCCCACCTCCTGGGCTCTGTCACACCCTCAGACCTGTTGCCCCCAGTGTCCCACTGTCCCCAGCAGGAGCTCCCTCTGGAGCAGCTAGGAGCCCAGGCTCTTCTTTCTCAGGAGCCTGGCTTCAGAGTCAGGCTAAGATGGAAACTAGCCTTTGGCATTCCCTACTTCTCAGCCGATTTATCTGTCCAAGTGGCCTTGAGGATTTAGTGTGCCCTTGGCCTCCTGGGACCTTTGCTTCTTTGGCCTCCCAAGGACTCAATGAATTACGCATTCCTCCTTATCAACTCCCACATCAGTTATTGTGATGAGTCAGTGAAATTTGTCTGGATGGCTGTGCACAGGACACACACACACACTGACTAGAAGTCCTTCCATTGATTGGAATTACCCTTCTCAAGTCAAGACCCTGGAGTCTGCCCTACATTCTATGTACTCTGAGCCTCTTTTTCCCCCTGTCTAGGACACCAGAGTCCCCTGCTTGCTGCTTCATTTTCTAACATAGGATTCTTGCCTCTTCAACATCAGCACAGAGCCAGAGCCCCCAGCCACAGTCCCAGGGCTGTCCACAGTCTGCCTGGGCTGTGAGACAAGGTTGGTCAAGTTGACCAGACACAAGACCCTTCCCTCTGATTGGCTGACTAGCTGCCAGGGTTGAGGGAGTCTCCAGGCCGTCTGTTCTCACCTTGGTATGGCCGAACCGGAACTGCTCCCGGTCCACATCGATGGAGTTGAGGAGCTTCTCAGAGGCATTCTTGCTGTCAATGAACTGCCCTTCTGGGATGGCACTGGCGTTAAGGATCCGGTACCTGGGGAGAAGAGACAATGGTTTTGATCCCTCATAATGGCCTTGTACCTGAGACCAGACCTTCTAGAACCTTCTGCTCAAGTCTTAAGATGGTGAGTACCGTGCTGCTAGTCTGGGGGGCGGGGGAGAGAAGTCCAGGGGTGGGCTCTAGGGTGTGGTGGAGGGAGAGAGCATGGAGGAAGGGAGATGGGCTGAGCACACTTCTCAGAAAATTTGCCTTCAGAGGAAATGGTTCTTATCTGACCTGGAAGAGCTTTGGATTTAGCTGCAGCTCAGAGACCTCATTCCTCCTACCTCTCAAGGGGTCTGGACTTCTAGAAGGAAAGAGGTGTTCTAGTACAGTGGATCTCCACTGGAAGATTTGGCTTCTAGGGAACACCAGGTAGTGCCTAGTATTTACGATGGTCACAACACAGGAATGTGGTGTGTGGCTTGCTGTGAACATCTTTGGGTAGAGGCCAGAGATGTGGCTAGGATCCTCTAATGTACAGAGAATCTCTATACAAAGGACCATCTAATTCCAGATGTCCACCACAATGAGACATCCTTCTTTAGAGTGACAGTCCGGCTAGGTCTGACTACGACTGATAGATCAGTTAGGGTCCATTCCAAGACTCACTGTGGACGTAGGGGGATCCTTCTGGCACAATGAAGTCCAGAAAGCCCGAGAGGCTTGTTAGTGTACCAACTGTTGAGGCCAAGGGTGCTTTGGATGGGGTGTGTGTGCGAAAGTTGTCCTTAGAGAAGATAAACACACGGAAGAGGTGACCTACCGCTGTTTGAAGTCGGCATAGAGGATCCGGCTGGGGAATCCTTTTCTGCAGATCCGAATGCCCTCCAGGACCCCGTTACAG